CAATGCACACAATCATTACAATTTGAGACAGTCGAGCAAATCAGTTTCATCAATATCAGTTTCATTAATAACAAGTACAGACCAGTTGAAAGTGAGATAACAATGCATGTTTAAACATACCCAATGATGCAAGAGATCTAATAGGAGCAGGTAAAGTATTCCAGTCTGTTTGGGCTTTGAACATGAACGCTCTTCTGCCCATAAATGTTTTTGCAGAGGGGACAGAGAAATAAATCTGAACAGAATGTCTAACTTGATGATTTGGTGAGTAGGGTACAAAATACTGCTTTAAATAAGGGGGATAGTTAAGATAAATGCATTTAAATATCAGCTGAAGCCAATGCGTGTGTCTTCTTACATTTAAAGAAGGCCATTTAAGTTGGTTATACATTGTGCAGTGATGTGTATGAAAAGGACAACCAAGAACAAATCTGCATAGTCTGTTGTAGGCTATGTTGAGTGGAGCAAGATCTGATTTATGTGCATTTTGGTAGACAACATCACAATAGTCCATGATCGGAAGAATAAGTTGAGAAGCAATTCTCTTTCGGACACTGAGCGTAAAACAATTGCGAGAGCGGTGTAAAACACCGATTCCGTAATTGACTTTTTGTATTACATGCTTTATATGTAGTTTATGAAAGTTCACAGTCAAGCCATAAACCAAGATATTTAAAGCTATCAACTTTTTTCAGAGAAGTTTTTTTCCATGCGTCAAGTCAGGCAAATTGGGTCCAAATGTTATGCATTAATGATCTGTTAACATTAAACTATTTTGCTCTAGGCAACTCAAGGGCTCAGGCAATGTGATTAATATATGAATAATGGTCCAAAATAACATAAAGTGCATAGGGTTTTTTGTTTAGTAACATACTTTCGTCGCCGGCCGGCCGATACATGCTGCGCATTAAGTGGGCCTGTCTGTCAATTAATCCCCGGGCCACTTTTTCCTCCCAGTCCGCCCCTGACTACAATTGTCTCTTTCCTGTAGGAGACGAGTGTTCACAGGATGAGAGTGGAGCGGTGGCCATCTTTTCCACACAGCTGGATGACTTCCTGGGTGGTGGGCCAGTGCAGTACAGGGAGCTGCAGAACTGCGAATCCAACACCTTCCTGGGGTACTTCAGGTCAGGAATCAAGTACCAGGTGAGGTCACTAGACAACCAATAACGTTCAAAAGTGCCACAATGAGTAGTCGGTTTTAGTCTTTGCTTATTTGAATTTCATTTCCAGATTCATCTAGGTTTATGTAAACGCATAACTCATGTGACCACTTTTTAGTGAAGCACGCATGGTTATCAAGATGTTGTAACAGTAGGCTCACATTACATTTGTTCATACAAAAGTAATCGCTATTTTGTCAATTTAAACATTAAGCCTTTTGAGTTCTTGCGTGATATGACTTACCCTAATTTCCTTCAAAACACGATAACTTTAAGTGTCTGGTAGGATGGTAAAATGTCACATTTGGTAATGCGTAGTGTGGTCACAATTTTCCAAGTCTCTGGGTTCGGAAAACATCCTCTATGCTAAACATCGGCGTGTTAGCAATGCCATTGTGAGCATGTTAGCGTGCTAATGTTAGCGTTTAGTTACAAGCTCTAATGTACGTAGGAACAGCCCAACAACAGGGCTGCTAGCATAGCTTAAGTCTTGTTTTCTGTTGAAAAAATGTGTAGTTTAATATTCAAATGTACTTGTTTGAGAAGGGAAAACTAAAATGAACTGTTCACAATTCAAACATAGGTCCTATGCACCATGTGACAAGGGATTAACCAGTAGATTTAATTTCACTATGAAATATTAAGTGAGCAATAATCAGTTACATTATATCACTTACATATACATTACGTATACAGGGAACGTTAAGATGAACACAAATGGACTCAGGACTTTGTTTGACCTAAAAATATCGACAGGGTTTAATGATTGTCAGCCCCCGATGAACTTTGCCAAACAGTAATGAGTCTGAAGTTCAGAGGAAGCACAACATTCCCCCGTCTTCATAGACACACCAGGGTGTGTCTGCCAGAGTGACTGACTTTAACCAAGGCAACCATCCTGGGATCAAAGGAGGACATTTTGAAAGACCATGCCACATCGGAACTAGCCGTCTGTTTCCCATTTCATTGAAACACATGCAAACCTCCTTCTGGAGCGAGTTGGGTATAATTAGCCTAAAGTCTTGTTTACTGCTTTTGCAAAGTTGGAGGCTTTTACAGAACCACACACACACACACACGCACGCACACGCACCCACGCACGCACGCACGCACGCACGCACGCACGCACGCACGCACGCACGCACGCACGCACGCACGCACGCACGCACACACACACACACACACACACACACACACACACACACACACACACACACACACACAGAACCTAAACTCATTATCCCCTCATAGTTTTGGTAAGTCCAATGTGAGGAAACAATCCAGTTGTTAAAAAAATAAACAGAGCCTGCATTGTTGCCATGGAAAATGTTAGTAACTCTCTTGAGAAAGATGAACCTCATGATTGTGGTTTCTATTTTTGAGGAACCCACTGTGTTATTCATTGCGAAGCCCTCGACAGACAGTATGAGAACAAGGAAGTCCCTCTCTCTTCTCACGAAGGGACAGTGTTTGATGTCATCTTACTAAATAGAAGAACTTCAAAGTATCAGGGCAGTCACACGGCTTCTCCTCCAGCAGAAAGTCTGTCTGTTGCTCATTTGCACTGAACCATTTACATGGCTTGTAAATACCTGTTTTGTTTAATGGCTTCACCAAGGACGGCATGTTACGAGACAATCCCAAACCCCAGGTACACTGAAGCCAGACGTGATGCTCCTCTCCAGAACCAGCCTCCTGTTACTTTCATTTCCCCTGTGATAAGGTTTATTGGCTTTGCTAGCTGTGATTTATAGTACATTTCATCATTGGCAGCACAATTTATAACCTTTTGTCCTTTGAGGATTTTACTGTGTTGTGTTACCCCCCCCCCAGCGTCTTTTAATGGTAGTATTGTTGGAAAACCAGATTATTTTCCGTTTTCCCTCAAAACTGCTAACAACACACTGTATCCACCCCCTCCCCCTATGTAACTTTAGTTGTTCAAACATCCATTTTTTTCTCTATTGAGGATAGTATCTGAATAACTTATAAATGTACTCTTTGGTAACTGGGGATAGCTAGCAAAAAAATCTAAGCGCTCTCCTCTTCCTGCTTTGGTTGACTCACTTCCTTTTTGTCGTTGTGTGAGTAATGAAAAATCTGGTGGCAGACATTGAAACTGAGGCATATAGGGAAACAAATTAAATGGCAATGGTGTTATTAAGGGCTGCAGCCACCAGTTTGTTTTCCCGTTAAGGGTTAATTAGGATAAAGCTAATTTAATCAATGAATACAAGATTTAGAGATAAAGTAAACTACATTCTTTCTCTGTCGATAGAATAATCAATTACTCAACTAATAACTTAACTAATCGTTGCAGCTCTAGAGTCAACAGCAATCGATGTTACCTTTGTAATGATAAGATAAATAAACCTTGTATGTTGCAACTTTAAACTCGTCCAACCCTCACTGTGCAACAAATGTTAAGTCTCATGAAATCACCTGTGTCCTCCTCACTTCCTGACCCAGACCTCTCCTTGTGACTATTTACTGGACCTGTAAACTAAAACGTTACAAATGATGTGAAGTGTGTGCCCCTTTTCTTTCCTTAACTAATAAATCAGTTCCCTTTATATAACCTCATTTATTTGTGGCCACAGAAAGGGGGCGTGGCTTCAGGGTTCCAACATGTGGTGACCAACGACTCCGACGTGAAGCGCCTGCTGCACATCAAGGGCCGCCGGGCCATCAGGGCCACCGAGGTGGACATGTCCTGGAACAGCTTCAACAAGGGGGACTGCTTCATCGTGGACCTGGGCAAGGTGAGCCCCCCCCCCCCTTCACTTTCTAACTAGCTGGATACTTACACTGTGTATACTGTCATAGCAGTGTAATACATTTGTTGTATTCCATGAAATCAACCCCATTTTGATACCATTTTTAGTTAAATGTCCAATAAAAATAAATTGAATAAAAAAGAATACACAGAAATACATAAAGAAGATAAAGTAAAAATATCCAATAAAAGATCAAATAGAATAGAATAAACATATTTACTTAAAGATAAGAAGCTAAAGTAAAATGTCCAATAAAGAAAAAAAATTGAAAAGAAAAATATATAAATATTGATATAAACATAATAATAATAATTCATTACATTTTTATGAGAGCGCTTTTCCAAGTGCTCAAAGCACTTTACATTACATATGACACATATTGGACATGTAGCAGTGAATAAGAAATGGAAGTCAATATGTGTACGTTGTAGTACATGATATGACATACATATTATAATATGTATAGTTGTGTACTAGTATTATTAACATATAAATGCTGAATTGCACAGCTGAAGAAGGTTTGGATGAACCAGAACCAAGCTGCTCATAAAATGATGTAAAGAGAATAAATTGATTTCTAAATCTTACATTTGAAAGTGCACATACATTTTGCTAGCCGGGTTTGACCTCAGGTTTTGACCAGCAAACACAGATCTCAAATCACACTCTTGGTAACATTTGTCAACAGGACCATGCTACACATAATTTAATCAGGATAATGTCTTTAATATCCTGCCCCCCCCCCCCCCCCCAGGACGTGTACCAGTGGTGTGGCAGTGAGTGTAACCGCTTCGAGAGGCTGAAGGCCGCCGAGGTCAGCCTCGGCATCCGAGACAACGAGAGGAACGGCCGAGCCAAGGTGCACATGGTGGAGGAGGGGGAGGAGCCTGCAGCCATCATAGAGGTGACACACACACACACACACACACACACACACACACACACACACACACACACACACACACACACACACACACACACACACACACACACATATACACACACACATTTCTCGCCACACACTGGGGAGAAGCAATACGTGTTGTTGATGCATTTCACGGCCGCTGATCAGTCACCGTGGGAACGAGTGGACACAGTGAGGCCCTTTGTAATGCCCTACTCATGTGCCAAGTCTGTGCCAAGGCGGTATTGTAAACACTTCCTTTACAACATGAGAGGGGGGTAAACTCCACAGAGAACCGGTGATAGGGATGAGGAGGGGGGCTTACAGAATATATTTAAAAAACTTCAAGACCTTTCTTTGTCTTTTTTCAAACGTACTTTTTATTTGAACATCAGATGAACAAACATACACAATAGCCATATTTACATACTTTATTATCCTAAACATACGGGTCATCTTACAAAACAGTACAGGAAAATACAGAAATGTTTGACAAGATCTGAACAATATATACAGCAGCCTAAACATAAGTCAATAAGAGAAAAAAAAGAGAAAAAAAGAAAAGAAAATCTGCATCATCAATGAAAACAATTAAAGGGATTGAAAAAATTAAATAAAAAAATGAATAAATAAATCAAGATAACAAGGTACGATGGTTTAGGGGACTAGGCTTGATCCTATTAAATTAAGTATACTAAACACTACATAATTGTAGTAGCAGAGGCATTACAGGCATCTATCCATACGTTTATTATTTACTGTTATTTTTTATATATATTGACTGAATACATTTATGTATATATCTTTTATTTAGATATTTTAATTTTCGATTTCGCATTTTGATACTCCTGTCTGTATCTCACACGCAGAAGATTGACAATAAAGTTGACTTTGTCTTGACTTTGACAATTCTTAAAAATATTTTGTTTCTGAAGGCTCAAGGCATATGTAATTTGTGTACCTTTCTTAGAACTCCCAAACCTTTGGGATCCAGTGGTTATATGTTGGAGGTTCAGGTTTAACCGTCTAAATGTCATGCACTTGATGGCTGGATAGGATTTGAAGTAAATATGCTTAATCTCTGCCAGAAAGGCAGTCCCAGTCTATGGGCAGTCCTTGTTTATTTTGTTGGCTGTTCAGTCTTCATCTGTGTATGAAATCATGATTGAATCTTGGAGTAGTTATGATCCTGACAGAAGAGGAGACTCATGATTCCTTCCTCTGGTTGTGAAGGCTCTGGGGCCCAAAACCGCCATAGCTCCCAGCAACGTGGACGATGATAAGGTGGACACCTCCAACAGGAAGAAGGGTGCCCTCTTCATGGTGAGTAATGTAAGTAACACGCTGTTGGTGTCAACTGAATTTATGTGCACTACACTGCATGTGCATCTGTTCATAAATCAGTTAAAGAGATACTAAGCAGTATATGAAATCAAGCCTGATGATTGTGACCAAAAAGGCTGTACTACAATCTGGTGGCACTGATTTGAATAAAAAAAACACAACTTATAACCCTCTATTTTTAGTTTTTGGTCGTATCTCAAAAACCTGCATGTATGCACTCATCTTTATGGAAAATGTTACTAATCTAAATGTTTAAGGCTGTTTTAAATTAACATGCATACACTCTACAATCACAAAATAGGATGAAAAATGTGCATGTTATAAGAAATGAAGAGGTTTTGAGGCCGTTGTAGACACACGTCCTCGCTTACCTTGACGCTTTAAGAACAGAACTACTAGGAGTTGGGGTCTTTGTGGTTCTCAGGTCTCTGATGCCACCGGCGCGGTAAAGGTGACGGCTGTGGCTCTGTCCAGTCCCTTCAAACAGGCCATGCTGTCTCCTGAGGAGTGCTACATCCTGGACAACGGGGTCGACAAGAACATCTTCGTTTGGAAAGGTGACGACAGCAGTGCAGTTTTAAAAACACAGCAGGAAATGAGCTTTCCTTGCTGTTTTACCAATGATTCTCTGATTCTGATTTACTTAAAGTAAGCACATGGCACTATGTTCTCATCCTGTCATGTCTTATCTGACTCCTACCAGGTCCCAAGGCTAACATGACAGAGCGTAAAGCAGCCATGGCAACAGGCCAGCAGTTCATCCAAGACAAGGGATACTCCAACAAGACCCAGGTAACGCTGACATGTGCAGAACTGCTCAAACACACACCAGGCTTAGAAAAGCAGCATCTTCTTTTACACCATTAGAGAATATGTTTTTCTGTTGTGAAAATAAAAATGGTAATGTTGGCATTTTACAACCTGGACATTAGGAAGAGAAATTAGGAAAACTATTGTTTGAATTGGTCCAGTATGGGGACATAGCGCTGCAGCTTAGTATGCAAAAAAAGACTGCACTACTTGTGCCACTGGCAGGATCATTTATTTATATATTTGTTGTGTCTGACTGAAAAGATCATGGAAATACAGAAACATTTTTGTCTTTACCTCGGGCCGGATCTGATCAGTTTGTTAGTGTGTCAAGTGATTTCTTGTCAGCAGAACGGGGAAGATGTAAGTGAAACAGATCATTGTAACATCCCATAAACCCCTCTGTTTCAGCCCTGTTCCAAAAATGCTCATTATGTGTCTGTAGCTTTAAATGCTAATGGGCTGCTGCTGCTGGACACACCCCTCTGAGAGATGATAGGGTAGAAAAAACAACAATTGTGCTCAAGAAGGAGATTTAGGTGATAAGGTGGGCGGGTGTTACCTGGTGATTGGCTAATGGTTACACAAGCCAAAAACACTTGGTGACATCACAAAGCAGCCAAAATCTGATCAGCTCATTTTCAGACAGGTTTTTATATAAATGGATCAGGACAAAAAGAGAGAGAATAGTTTGTATCTTCATGAATCTCTTAACACAGAGGGGACATATATTTATGTATAAAAGACATGAAAAAGTGGTAATAATAGGTGACCTTTAACAGTGCAAGACTACAGTGCATGGGCGGTTCTAAGGGGTGGCCAACAATACATTTGCCCCCCCTGTGCCCAACTCCAAAAGAAGAATCTATAATAATATAATTTGTGATAGTGTTGCAACAAAGATTGATAAAATCAAAACAAACATATAAGACACATACTGTATAGGACAAGAAATTAATATTTGACATCACATTACAATCACTGAAGACAATAACAAAATACCAAAGTCACACTTGAACTAAAACCCCCTCTCTGTCCCCTGACCTTACAGATCCAGGTTCTTCCTGCAGGAGCCGAGACCACCATGTTCAAGCAGTTCTTCTGCGACTGGAAGGACAAAGACGAGACCACGGGCCCCAGCAAGGCCTACACTATCGGCCGCATCGCCAAGGTGGTCCAGGTGCCCTTCGACGCCTCCTCCCTGCACTCCAACAAGGCGATGGCCGCCCAGCACGGCATGGTGGACGATGGCAAGGGCAAGGTCACGGTACGAGAGGGCTGACATCTGAAAAGAAGGTAAAGATGGATCATTGTTGTGAAGTTGGGGATAACAGGGTTTGGTCTTTGCTTCCAGATTTGGCGTGTTGAGGGGGAGAAGGTGCTTGTGGACCTCTCCTCCTACGGTCACTTCTATGGTGGAGACTGCTACCTGATCCTGTATAGCTACAGGCTGGGGGCCCGCGAGCAGCACCTCATCTACACCTGGTGGGTAAAACAAATGTGTGAATTACAAGCTGTAGTATTGGGAGCACACATGACCTCAAACACACCATGGATAGATAATGAACCAATGGACCCCACAACCACTCAGACATAGAAGCAAGACACACAGCTGTTAGCCTCTTTTGTTTTTGTGTTAGTTGTGACTCGTCCCTCTGTGGTACAGCTTTTATAGCCTCGTTGTGTCCCTTTGAAGTTACAAAAAATTCAACGGTTTTATTTGTCACAACAACTACAGCAGTAGATAGTGCAACACAATAGTGCAACAAACACATTTTCCCAGCGAATTGCAGAGTAAATACTTAAAAGTCATGTTTTGCCATTATGTCTTGTCACTTTGTAGTAGTTTTCTGCTCTTTTTTGTTATTTTGAGTTTCTTTCTGGTTATTTTGAGTCTTTTCCTGGCTGGTACGTGTCTCCTTAATGGCCCGTCCACACACAGGCATGAAAAAAATCTTGATGCTGGGCGTGTCTGAAGCTTGGCGATTTTTTGCGAGCAACGCGACCAACAACCAATCACATGAATCTCCCGCCCCCGACATACAAAGCAATAGCAATGCTAAAACGAAGTAAACTGGATATAAACTCCCCAAACAGGCGAAAACCTACCAGTTTCACCCACTGTCTCTGCCACCTCCCTCCATGCCTGGTTCCTCCGGTTTGTATCCCGGTAAATAGTTCTGGTCGTAAAGAACCGGGTGATTTGCTACCGTAATTTCTCGTTTGGAATATGAGGAAATGAACTGCGGTCTGGCTCTCCCAGCTTGC